CTAGGTGATTCTTTTGTGTACTATATTTTGAGAACCATGCCTTATAAAAGTAGATCATAACGTGAGTTGCGCATTAGAATCACTTGAGATAGTTTTTAAAAACTTGGTTGCCCAGGCTACACCCCAGACCAATGAAATCAGATTTTCTGGGCAAGGCCCCTATGCATCTTTTGAAAGTTCTCCACTGATTCCAATGTGTAGCCGAGGTTGAGGACCACTGCCCTAGGTGAAAGTCCATGTAGAGTCACGTCTGTAAAGTTTGCTGCCCTTCTCCATTTGAACATTTACTTTTAGTGCTAACCTGGTAGGATCTGTATTTTTTTTTTTTTTTTTTTTTTTTTTTTTTTTTTTTGAGACGGACTCTCGCTCTGTCGCCCAGGCTGGAGTACAGTGGCATGATCTTGGCTCACCGCAACCTCCGCCTTCCAGGTTCAAGCGATTCTCCTGCCTCAGCCTCCTGAGTAGCTGGGATTACAGGCGCACGCCACCATGCCCAGCTAATTTTTTGTATTTTTAGTAGAGATGGGGTTTCACCATGTTGGTCAGGCTTGTCTCGAACTCCTGACCTCATGATCTGCTCTCCCCTGCCCAGCCTCCCGAAGTGCTAGGATTACAGGCGTGAGTCACCGCGCCTGACCAGGATTTGGACTTTAACTTGATTGAGGAAGACATAATTTTCTTACATTAAAATTATGACTCATTTATTTTATATCCCCAGCTCCTTATCTGGTACATGGCAGGGGTTTGGTGATCATTTTCTGAAAAAAATTCAACTAAATGAAATTGACTCTATCAATATGTAGATAAATAAAATTTTCACCAAGCCCTAAAAATTCCATTAGATTCAACAAATCTATATAGCACCTAGGCTGTGAGAGGTACAGAGTGAACAAAATACAGCCTTCTCTTCAGGTGTTCATGACCTGGTGGGGGAGACAGATATAGACAAAAGTATTTTACAATCAAGCAGACAACGATAAGAGTTCAGAAAGTAAAAAGGGAATAGAAGAAAAATTCATTCAGAATGGCTGGTTCTAGGAAGGCATCGCTATAAATTCCGTATCCAAGATTGGCCTTGAGGCATTGCTGGGATTGACCCAAGAGGAAATTAGGGAAATGGGAAGTTGGAGAATGGGGCAGTTCTGTATAGCATAAAGTAAGTCAGATGGGCCTTCCTGTAACCTTCATGCAAGGCTGGAGGGCAGACATTAAAGACTCCTTTTCTTTCTAACTTCCTTGTTACTGCTCTTATTTTTCAAGTATTTCACCCTGGTTTATTAATTCTACCTCCTAGTGCCTCAGCTGGTTTCTTCTAGGAAAAGTTTCTCATTAGCATGTCTATAGGGAGCAGCTGCTACCCTATCTACCCCTATTATCTGATGGCCAGGGCAATGGGGTTGTCTGGGAGAGGAATTTTAATCACCTCCTTATGACTCATCTATTTTCTAATTGAGAACGTCAGTTCTAAAGTCACAAATGGCTTCCCAATGAAATCCATCTTTAACATTAAAAATGGCAATAAAGACATGCTTTGGCCGGGCGCGGTGGCTCAAGCCTGTAATCCCAGCATTTTGGGAGGCCGAGACGGGCGGATCACGAGGTCAGGAGATCGAGACTATCCTGGCTAACATGGTGAAACCCTGTCTCTGCTAAAAAATACAAAAAACTAGCCGGGTGAGGTGGTGGGCGCCTGTAGTCCCAGCTACTTGGGAGGCTGAGGCAGGAGAATGGCGTGAACCCGGGAGGCGGAGCTTGCAGTGAGCTGAGATCTGGTCACTGCACTCCAGCCTGGGGCCTGGGCGACAGAGCGAGACTCCGGCTCAAAAAAAAAAGACATGCTTCTCAGTTTTATAACATCATCTATGTAAAATGAATGTATTAAAAATTAATCAAACTCATGTTTGTGAATAACCCTAAAGCTATCTTGGATACTACTTGAATGCAAAAATCTCAGGCTGATACGAATGGATTGGGAATTAGATGAGTTATTGAATAGGGAAGGTTTCTCAAAACCACAACGTCAAAGGGTATGTAATGTTATTTATGACTGTAAATTGTAAAGTAAAACAATGAGCACGCATATTACTCTGAATTTTGAATGTATATTTTACATGATGGACTGTATGTCCCTTTCTGTTTAAGCAGACTGTTCACATTGATGTCATGCGGCAGATGTCATTTGTAAAGTCCATGAGATGAACCAGTCACCATGGTGTAAACACACCATAATTTATGTAGAATGGCAGAAGAAAAGGGTTTGTAAATCAAATTATCATTGAAGTGGAGCACAGCTTGGCTTCTAAGGTGACATAAGGCCCATCTACAGTGGACATGGTACTTAAATTCAGAAGATATCCTAGAATCATAGCAAGGAAAAGAATGCGAGACAATAGGGAAGGAAAATCAATGTTCTAGATAAGCTTATAATTGCCAATGATTTTTTCCTTATTGTGTATTTAATGTACCGAATATCTTATTTCTTTATATCTACTTTCAATCAAAGTGAATTTCTCAATTATTTGTTCATTTTTATTCTGGAACAAAAAAACCATTAAATTTCACATCAAATTTGTCATGCACTTAAATTGTTCATTAAAGAAATTGATGTTTCTTAACAATAATCATTCCCTTAATATTTCAAAACCCTTCTGATTATATAGCAAAATAGTACTCCTGACCCCTAAGTCATAGGTATAATTAAATTTTACAAAAGACCTAAATTTAAAAAATTTTTTGAGGTGTTAAAAGATTTTTTTGACAGGTTAATAGAATTGATAAGTGCTAAAAATAATCATTCTCACCAGCTCCGAGGGCATAGCCTTCCCCCACCAAATCCAGTCATTTCCAGTATGTGTGTAACGTGAAGCATGACATGCTTACTGCACAGTTAAGCTGTTGTTTTGAGGAAAAAGGCTATACGGAACAAAGTACAACCCCAAATCTGGAGTGCGTTATATCCAAAGGATGTGGTCATTCCTTGAGTGACAGGTCACTCATCCATAAACAAAGCAAGTCCTGCCAACTTGAAATCATAAACTGAACAGGATCACCCAAAGAGGCTTAAGAATCTGGAATCTCTCTTGATTGGCATTGACTGTATGGTGGTGAGAAGAGACAGCTCCTGCTAGTGGGTAGTAAGGTTCCACCTGCCACAGGGTGCTAGAATGAGAGGGGGAAGATGAAGAGGCCAGGCCAGTAATCTATGATGTTGGGCCAGACGTGGGCTTCTCAGGGTAGGAAGATCAAGAAATGAAGTAGGGTCTTGAAGCAAGAAAGCCATAGCAGAACCAGAAAACTACATCCTGCCTTTGTTTTTTTATGTCTCTTGTTTATTTCCCCTCTTTTCTTTTGCTCCCCGCTTGATAGCAGCATAAAAACATAGTGAACATTCTACCATCTCATGGCTATTCAAGGAAAAGGATGTATGTCCTTGTTTGACCAAGAGCTCAAAGGAAGTGCTGTACTCCTGGGTTCCCAGTGTGGCTGTTGTGACAGCAATAAACCAAGAGAGAGATGCCAAGTGGGAGGTGGAATTCAGGAAGATGAGAAATGCAGGGGTAGGAGTTGGGGGACAGATTTTCTCTTAACATGAAGGATGTCTGGATATGCCATTCTTTCCTCAGCCTATGAGAGAGTATTGGTAATGTTCAGTGGAGAAGGACATTAGTCTAACATGAGGCTACATACAGAGTACTGGCAAAAGACTAACTCTCTAGTCCTCCCCCACCACACCCTCTTGCAGGAAGAAGGCAGCAGAAAGCTGTGACATTGATGAAGGACCCCATAAGCTGCATTTTGAACACCTCTAGCTCAATTACTATTCATACACATCTTCCTCGAGAAACCCCAAATGCAATGTTACATGTCCAGAGTCAACCGTGTTCTGTTAGCTAATTGTTGGTTGAAACATAAGGGCAGAATTGAAAGCTAAGCCGTCAGAAGTATATACAGGATGGATGAAGGGCAAGAAGGCAGACTGGAATGGCTGAGGCTGTAGCAGAGGGAAAATTCCAGAAGGAAAGAGAGAGAGAGAGAGAGAGAGAGAGAGAGAGAGAGATTTCATGCTTGAAAGCATTCATCTGCAAGGAATTGAGTGAGATGGAGAAAGGGCTTCTTGATGGCAAGAGAATGAGAGACATCTGGAGAACATGTAGGGAAAGGAGAAAGAAGATGCCTCAATAGCAGAGAAGGCTGGAGGCATCTAGGATCATAAGGCATCACGTGGAAGGTAGGAATGGAATCAAGATGTACTAATTACCACTATGTGCTAGGCACGAGCTGTTCTCCTGAATCATCTCATTTAATCCTCACAATGTCCATCACAGTGCCTGGCATATAGTAGGCACTCAAAAATATGTTGAATATTTAATATTAATTAAATAAAAATAAAATATTTAATATCAAATCAATAAAAGTCACAGCTAGTAAGAAGTAGAAGGACAATGACTTCAAAGTTCCAGCAGTGGAAGGAGGAGGGTGATTTGTAAAGATCCTGTGGGTAATCTAGAAAAAGGTATGGTGCTTGGGTGTTGCCCAGAGACTGAGAGAGGGAGGAAAGAATGAAGGGCCAAGGGAACTGGGCCAGGGAGGAGGGCGAGAGGCCACTTGGAAAGAATTCTTCTTCTAGAAGAATGGGGACCCTGTCGGACGGCAAAGGGCAGCATCCAGGCTAACATAGCAGGTGAGCTGGGTGGGGGCAGGACGGAAGCGCAGCCACTGCTGACATCGCAAAGGGTCTCTGTGGGCAGGCAGTGATCTGAGGTGGGCGAGATGGAGAAAACCGCTACAGCTGTAAAGTGAAAGAGCCAGGCAGGCTGAGATGGAAAATACTAACAGCTTGCGCACAGGACAGGGCAGAAGAGAAGGCTTCGACGGGAGGTGGCCTGGGAGGCGGCTGGGGAGAGGGTGTGGCCTGGGACTGGAGGCAGGCTGCACGCTAGGCCTGCGTTGGGGATCGTCTGCGCGGCGACTCCCCCGCGCTAGCAGCGGCCGCGTCTCACCTGTAGGAGCTGCTCACTGCACTCGCCACCTCCTCGCGGATTTGCCGGTTGAGGGCGTCCGCCGCGGCGCGCCCCCTGCCAACCTCGGGGCCGGTGGCCTGGACCTGGGTCTGGGCCGCGGGCAGCGGCGTCTGCTCGAGCCCCAGGCCCTCGGCGCGGCGCACCATCCAGGCAGGCCCGGCCTTCCTGCGCGTGTCGCGCTCGTCCGCTCCGGACGCCTTTCCGGCCGCCAGGCCGCCAGCTCCGCCGGGGGCCGCCTCCTGCTCCCGGGCCTCAGCGGCGGCCTGCACTGGCCAGCGCTCCTGGCTCTGCGGCCGGCGCTTGGGCGCCCCGAGGATGGGCGCCGACGCCTGGGAGGCCGCGGGGATCTGCACTGGCTTGGGGATCCACGGGTGGTCTCCGCGGCGCGGCAGTGGCCAGGCGCGGAAGTCCTTCTGGTACTGGGTCTCGCGCTCGAAGGGCGCGTCGGAGGGCTGGTACTCGCTGCGCGGCCGGCAGCTGGGCTCGGGCCGCTGCACCTTCCAGGCGCGGTAGTCCTGCCGCATCACCGAGTCCGCGGTGCCGGAGGTGGAGCCGGAGCCCAAGCCCGGGCCCGGCCCGCCCCGGCCGGGGCCAGCCGCCGGCTCACGCTCACCGCTAGGCCCAGGCGCTGGCCCCGTTGCCCGGGCAACTGCATCCAACTCGCCCTGGGCTGGCTGCGTCTCTATGGCAACCGCGCGCGCTGAGTGGGGCGCGAGCGCAGGCTGCGCCTGCTGCTGCTGCGGCGGCGGTGGCTGCGGCGGGGCGCCCGGGTGCTCGGTGGCCTCCGAGTACTTGGTGAAAACCAGCGGCACCGCGATGTCCGCTTTGTCCAACTGGTTCCAGAAGCGGGCGATGCAGCAGGCCCTCGTGATGCACGGCCACGCCATGATGCTAGCTGAAAAGCCGGCCCCCTCTTTCTTCTTGAGGTTCTAAAGCAAGTCTCTAATCTTCCTTCAGCCTCCGATCCTGACCAGCCAATGTGGTTCCCACCGTTTTCTACCCCCGATCAGCCGGAGCTAGTTCGCCCTCCTCCCTCAGCGAGCACCCGGGGAGAGCTATCCTAAGAGAGTCTGTAGAGTCCCTCAATTACCGGTTGCAAACGCCTTTGGGAGCGCAGTCTGCTGCAGGCGCCGAAGGGCGAGAGGCACGGCGTTCCTGAGTCCCGGGCGAGGGTGTCTGGGACGCGCCCCTCCCTGCGGCTGCGGCGGCGCACAGACCTCGGTCGAGCGCGGCGACGTGAGGAGAGGTGGCTGCAGGCTTAAGCCATGGCGCAGAGGAGGGGCCGGGCGGTGTGGCCGCAGGATTCGCGGACCGGGCTCGAGTCTCCTTCCTGCCGGCGTCCTAGTGCAGCCGGCCACCTAGCAGGACTGGGAGGCCATCACCTCCAGCGAAGACCGAGCATTGCTGCCTCCGCCGCTGCCCGCGAGGATGCCGCAGCCGCCGCCGCCACTGCCTTCTCTCCTGGGAAGCGACCCCACCCTTTTCTGCAGCTCTCGGTCTCTGCCGCTGCCCGTGAAAGATGCTGCAGCAGCTGCCGCCGCCGCCTCTGCCTCTGCTGCAGGAAAGCGGCCCCACCCTTTTACGCCGCTCAGCCGGGAGAAAAAAAATCCAGGAACGATGCTGACTGAAAAAGTGCTGGGAAAAAAAAAAAAAAACACCTGCTGTCGTCAGCTCGCGCTGCTGGGAGCTTGCCCTCTCTCCCCACCTCCCTCCGCACTGGCAGCTCCTCCCTCCTCTGCTCCCGGGCAACAGCAGAATCTGGGGCCGTAGTGGGTTCAAGTCCCAAGCTCGTGAGGACTTTCTGTCCTTGGGCTTGTCGCTTCATCCCCAAGAGTCGGAGGCTCCTCTTTTGTAAAATAGGGCCAATCGTTGGTGGAGGGGGAGCTATTAAATTTTAAAACATGGAGGAAACTCCTAGTGAAATGTCTGTCGCTGAATAGATGCTTTGAAAAGGGGAGCTGCTGGTATTGGTCAAAACCGGCGGGCTGTGTTTGAGCCCAGTTTGGTTGCCTCCTGGTTCAAGCACTTGCCAGTCTTATGCACGGGCCTTGCTCAGATGTGTGGGAATGGGAGCACCAGGGCTGGTGGTGCCCTGGCTGTTCCCTTCCTAGGGAATCTTTGCGAAGGTATCTTTTAGACTCTCCCAAGAACCACCCAGTCCCTGTTCAGTTCAGGGGCCACACTGGGGCAGAGGTAGAGAAAAGAAAATTCTTGAAAGTGGCTTAATTGTGGAGGTTGGGGGTGGGTCGGAGCTGTGTCCTAGGAGAGGGCAGTGCCTGGCCTGCAGGGGCCTTCTGGCACATTCTCACTCTTCGCGGTTGCTCTTCTTCTATCTTTAAAGCAGAAGAGATTTTGGAGTTGGAAACCTAGTTTGGCTCTGCTACTCTCTGTGTCACTTGGGCAAGTTAAGTCATCCCTGGGCTTCAGTCTCCTCATCTGTAGAATGGAGGAAATACTTACTAGCTGCCTCAAAAATGGTTTAGTGGGCCGGGCGTCGTGGCTCACGCTGTAATCCCAGCACTTTGGGAGGCTGAGGCGGGTGGATCACCTGAGGTCGGGAATTCAAGACCCTGTCTGTACTAAAAATATAAAAATTACCTGGGCGTGGTGCTGTGTGCCTGTAATCCCAGCTACTCAGGAGGCTGAGGCAGGAGAATCGCTTGAACCTGGGAGGTGGAGGTTGCAGTGATCCGAGACAGTGCCATTGCACTCCAGCCTGGGTGACAAAAGCAAAACTCCATCTCAAAAAAAAAAAAAAAAAAAAAAAAAAGAAAAAGAAAAAGAAAAGAAAAGAAAAGAAAAGTGGTTTTGTGAGGATAGTTAACGACCCAGGGCAGAAGCTTTGAGTCAAATCTAATCTGCAGGGATTCATGGCTTTTGTAGCTCTTAACTCTATAGCAATGGGCAAATCACTACAATCTTCTGACCTTCAGTTTCATCTATGAATGGGGGTACCAATACTGAACTTGCAAGGTTGTTCTGAGAATTAAAATGAGATAATGCACTAAAAATGCTTACCACAACATCTGGCATATGGCAATGGCTCAATAAATGGTAGCTATTAGTATCCAAAAGGCTCACCCAGAAGACCCATAAGTGGAGCATCCTAAGAAACCACTTGGACACCTTCTCCAGAAGATCTCTTGTTCCTCCAAGTAACTTTTGTTCTGTCTTTGCTATCTCTCAATTTATGTCTCCTGCACTCTTCCACTAGCTACATCCACTGGACTTCAGCTCTTTTCCCCTACAATATAGGCAGAGTTTTCAGCATCAGTTAAGCTGGGAGCATTGGTGTTTCGGGGGGAGAAAGTCATGTATGTGTTTAGATTATAAATGGATTGCACAGCACAGATTTTCTTTAACCCTAGAATCAAATAGGATGAGAAGACAGCTCTGATTAGTCAATTATCTGCTGAACTTCCTGCTACTTAGGTCTTTGCTTCTTGGTGATTTGATTTGAGTTCCGTAAATAAAATAATGCCTGGTGCTGTTTTCCAGTCGTTAGGAGATATATTTTTTAAAGAACATAATCTGGTGGTACATTTCCTCCCTTCACCCCTGCGGAACTCCCTGGGATTTGGCTGATGCATTTCCAATAATGATTTCCAAAGGTTTAGAAAAGGCTAAAAATTGGAGGGAGGATGTCTATTCTGAGAATCACTGATAGTTTATCCTTCTTTGATTTAGCAAGTCTAGTCTCCTGATGCCTACTTTGTGCCTTGAGGACTATAGGATACATATGGATTCTAGCTCTGGAGGAGCCCTCACTTGAAGGAATGTGTTATTGGAGAACTGAGAGACAGACATATAAGTAAATAATTATCAAAGAGTATGGTCAACCTAACAGAGGTTAACACTGGTGCTGAATGAATGACTAGTAAGAGATGAGTAGGAGTTCTCCCAGCATAAGAAGTGTAAGGAAAATTTTGTCATTTACATCACCCTCCACATTTATTTACTTGGATTTGAAAAACGCATTCAACCTCCCTGGACCATCCAGTGACCCTGTGGGATAGACAAGTCTAGCGGTCATCTATTATGTGGCTTATTTAGCATTCATTCTGGTGGTCACAGCACCTCATCATTTGACTTCTGAGGGCCAAGAGAGAGAGAAAGAGAGAGAGAGAGTATCACACATCAAAAACTTTAGGACTGTAAAGAGGGATGATTTTTGATATGGCATATTTAAAGAATCACAGATAAATACTAAGAACTACTTTCTTCTGATAAAGGTGAAAAACTTTGCATGGTAGCCAGCCTTTAAGAAGGCCCACAGTGACCCTAACTTCCCAATGTTCACAGCCTTGTGTAGTCCTCTGCCCTGAATCAAATAACTTAGAAATATGCATTTAAATTTCCTCCATGTCTTTTCATGTCTTGTTAGCTCATTTCTTTTTAGAGCTGGATAACATTTCATTATCTGGATGTATCACAGTTTATTTATCCATTCACCTACTGAAAGATATCTTGGTTGCTCTCAAGTTTTGGTAATTATGAATAAAGTCACTAGAAACATCCGTGTGTAGGTTTCTGTGGGGACATAAGCTTTCAACTCCTTTGGGTAAATACCAAGGAGTACAATTGCTAGATGACACAGTTAGATCATGCTTAGTTTAGTAACAAACTGCCCAATTGTCTTCCACAGTAGCTGTACCATTTTGTGCTCCTACCAGCAACAAATGAGAGTTCTCGTTGTCCCATGTCCTCTCAGGTATTTGGTTTTATCATCAGTGTTTTGGACTTTTCACATTCTAACAGGTATATAGTAGTATCTCATTGTTTTAATTGGTAAATCTCTAGTAATATACAATGTTAAGCATCTTTTCATACGCTTATTTGCCATCAGTACATCTCTTTGGTGAGATGTATGTTCCAGTGTTTTGTCTATTAAATTTATTTTTATTTTTATTTTTTTGGAGATGGGGTCTTGCTCTGTCACCCAGGTGGGAGTGCACGATCATAGTTCACTATAGACTCGAGTTTCTGGGTTCAAGTGATTGTCCCACCTCAGCCGTCCAAGTAGCTGGGACTACAGGTGTGAGCCACTATGCCTACTTGTGTTCATTTTTTATCTGGGTTGTTCATTTTCTTACTGTTGAGTTTTACTAGTTGTTTGTATATTTTGGATGATAGCTTGATACCCTTCATCCTAAGTCTTTTGCAAATATTTTCTCAGTCTGGTTTGTCTTTCCATTCTCTTCACAGTGTCTTTTGAAGAACACAAGTATTTAGTTTTAACAAAGTCCGATTCATAAATTCTTTCATAGAAGGGTCATGCCTTTGGTGTTGTAGCTAAAAAGTCATTACCATGGCTGTATGTGGTAGCTCATGCCTGTAATCCCAGCACTTTGGGAGGCTGAAACAGGAGGATCACTTGAGCCCAGGAGTTTGAGACTAGCCTGGGCAACATAGCAAGACCCCATCTCTCTAAAAAACACAATTTTTAAACTTAAGTAAATAGTTATCAGCAAATCCAAGACTATATGTTTTCTCCTATGTTATCTTCTGAGAGTTTCATACCTTTATATTCTACATTAAGGTCTATGAGCCATTTCAAGTTAATTTTTGTGAAGGGTGTAAGGTCTGGGTCAAGATTCATTTTTTTTTGCGTCTAGATTTCAGTTTTCTAGTCTCATGTGTTGAAAAGACTACCTCTGCTCCATTGTATTGCCTTTGCTCCTTTCTCAAACATCAGTTGACTATACAGATGCTTCTTGACTCATGATGGAGTTAAACTCATTGTAAATTGAAAATATTGTATGTGAAAAATGCATTTCTTTAACTTATCAAACATCATAGCTTAGCCTAACCTACCTTAAACATGCTCAGAACACTTTCATTAGCCTATGGTTGGGCAAAATTTTTTTTTTTTAAAAGTCCATTTCATAGAATGAAGTCTTGAGTATCTCTTTTAATTTGTTGAATAGTGTATTGAAAGTGAAAAACTGAATGTTTGTACAGCAATCTCCCTTTATCTGTGCTTTTGCTTTCTGTGGTTTCT